CACGGTGTTTGTAAGCCGGCGCAGAAGAGAGAGTCGGCAGCGGTGTTGTAAGCCGCACGAACGGGCGGGTCAATCGTGTCGTTGTGTTGATGTAAACAGGGCCGCAGAGGCCATGGCTTGCACATATATTCATAGATCATTATGGCGGGTCAGATGCATGATATCCTTTATATGACCATCGCTCTTGCAATGAACATTTGCCCTGCACCCAAAAAATATTGCAAGCCAGAGTAATTGCTCTTTTAAAAAGATTATTATGTAATATGAAAATACGCTGGATGGATTTCACCTGATATATTTAAACCGGAATTTATCCACCACGGAGTTGATGATCACCATGGTGAAGCAAGGTAAATTGCAGGCGTGGTAAGCCACGCGGACGGGTGACTCGGCTGCAGGCGCGGAGGGATGTAAACCGAACATCGGGGGTGGCGACTTGCACGTGTATTCATGGAGAAACATGACACGGACGAACGCCAGTGCAGAGTTATGCTGGTGCGCTCTCCATATCCGTCGTACAACATCTTTGTCATGAATAACATGGCGTGGGGCGGCTCAGGGGCATCGGCAGGCGGCTTGATGTGAGGCTGGGGTGGCTCAATCTGTCGCAACAGCGGGTGGAAGACAGGCGTGGCTGGCAAAAGGCGCGGTCAGTGAGTGTCGACTCAAGGTCGGCCGATGTGGCGGCTTGATGTGGCGGCTCAAGGCCGCGGTGGCGCGTCGGCTCACCACTAGGGTGAGATGGCGGTGGATGCGCGAGGTGTCGGGCGGCTCAACAGGGCGCTGGCGGCTCACCACGTGGCAAAGCGGTAACAGAAGGCAAGATGACTTGGTGGTCAGCGACCCGATGCAGCAGTTTGAGATAGGCGCCGGCGGCGAGTCAGTAGACGGGCGGAGACAGCAAAGGGTCCTGGTGACTCTACGGAGGTGACTTGGCGGCTCGGAGTTGGATGGCCCACGACAGTAGGCGGGGATGACCGAGGCCGGCTCATGCGGAGCAGAGTTGAGCAATGGGCGGCCCAAGGACGCACGTGCGTGGCCGCGATGGGACTAGTTTAAGTAGTACTGGAAGCAGCTGGGAAATGGCGTGAGACGAGGCGGAGCCACAGTCATGGAGTCAATGCCGAGCTCGGAAACAGCGGCTCAGGGCCACGACAACCTGTAATAGAGGCAAAACTGAGCGCAGTAGAACCGGAGCGGAGCCACACGCGCACAAGAGAGATACAGGACAACCTGGTAATGCGGACTCGCCGGCGAATGACGCAGTATGGTGGATTGGATATCACGATCGCGCCAAACCGGCCAAGGCAGGAAACGTCCATGGAGGTTCAACGAGGAAAAGGCAGCGGCCTGCAAGCCGGCCACATCGGAGATGCTGGAGCGCCGGCGAGGCGGCTAAGCGCAGTGCAGACCGCCGCTGGCGAGGCGACATGGCATAGTACAAGCGGGGCGACCCGCGGCTCAGGCTATAGGTGACTCGGAGTAGTGAGCTCGAAATCGGAGAAGACCGGGAGTGAGCTAGAGCCGCGCGGGGCAGTACGGGAAACCAACGTGGGGAGCAGCCGCGGTAGATGGACAACCCGGCAGCGGCTCGTTGAGGTGGCTCGGAGTTGGAGCGGGAGGACCAAGGCGGAGGTGACTTGGAGCTGAGTCGAGTCTGTGGTGGCGGCTCACAAGTGGCAGAGGGGCTCCGGTGACCCAGCAAGGAGCGACGGCGACTTAACGTGGCCGTATATTGATAGTCGTTTTAAATAGGTGGCTCGGCGAGGGCTCAGGCAGGCCACGACAGCTCGGATGCTGTGAAGGCAAGTTGTGCAGGGGGGGCCATTGGCTCTAGCGCAGCGATGGTTACTTGAAACAGAGGTGGAGGTGGTTTGGTGGCGGCACCGACGGCCACTCAGCTGCGGTAGAGACTCAAGCAAGGTGGAGTGCGGCGGCGACTTAGAGACGGAAACGGAAACAGAGCTCTGACCTCATCCCTTCCCAAAAACTGTCGTCAGCCGCGCACGTGACTTTCCTTGCATGTATCCATACCAGTTTTTGGTCTTTCTCTTGATGATGTCGACTTGGTTTGGTTGCTTCAGACTTGTTAACTCGGATAGTAGAATCCGTTGATGCTAGCTTCTGCAGATTTCACCTGTGTGATTCACGTCACGGAACAACCCGTTGACTGTTTTAGGCCGTGGTGATCTAACCCGTCAGTCTTCGGTAATTTTCGAGACGGCTCAATAGATGCAACCCTAAGCTTATAATGCGAGCTTCAAAATTAACCATAATTCTGATCACAAAGACGATGAATTCGTCGGCTTTGTCCAAGGTTGTCCCATACTGGGCTGCCCCACGCGATTGTTCCGTGCGGGCTCTTCTTCGTTCGACTGATCGCGAGCTTCTCAATCCCTGAAGAGCTCCCTCCAAGAACTCATCACCACCGTGCGCGAGCCCCACGGTGGGGCGCCAACTGTCGTGGATTTGTCATGGCAGATATCCTAGTGTGAGGATTTAGTCATGAGGCCAACGCATCTATGTGGTAGCTTGAGAGGGGTTGATCGAGACGAAAGACGCAAAGCGGATCATCACACAAGACAAGGATTTAGACAGCTTCGGGCCCCGGGAACCATCATCTGGAATAGCCCTACATGTTGTTTGTGGCTAGGTCTCATTATGCTCATGAGGGAGTCGCTGCATAAACCGGCTCTCCTCCTTAGTTGTGTCTAGACCTAGAGATTATTTTCTCTTCCTTGCCTCCTCTCTTTGGGGAGCCCTGCCCCTCCTTATATATGTTGAAGGGGCGGTTTACATGACTAGTCCTAGTTGGATTAGGATTACTCTATTACAGGTGGAGTCCTAGTCTTGCTTCCTTTGTAAGGGAATACTCCTTATGCTTTCCTCTTAAACCACCCCCCCCATAACATGAACCGGCCTTCTGGGCCTTGGGAATAGTCCTTTATCTGACCCGTCGTCGGGGTCATTCCTGAGTCGCCAGGCTCGTAAATCGTCAGAGTAGTGAACCGACAGACTCATGAATCGCCATTCCTCGGGCGGGATATGATGAAGCGCCAAGTCCGGCCGGGTTATACTTCCGGTCGGGTTACGCCGCGGGGTATATCCCCGACACTACTATGTTCTTTTCCTTGCTCTTTTTTGACTTTTCCATGTCAAGTCGTACCCACAACACAAAAGAATAAAATCGCTCTTCAGAACTCATTGATGCATGATACAGACAAGCTATACTTTGATGTAAGACAACCGTATGAGGATGGAATATGTAAGAAAAATAGGACGGTGTGACATATTCATAGCTACGATGTGTAAACTAAGCAGAAGGATATTCAAGAAAATAGAAGTAATGCAAGCTAGACACCATATGAAAGATGCAACCAATATCACTCTGCCAAGTTAAAAGTGTCTTGTCATAAGTGGCATTTCGAAATATTAGAAGCAGTACAATGTAGAAATCAATGCAAGATGCAACCGCTATCAAACTGCCATGCTAAAAGCATCCAATCATGAGTGACTGATGTGGGATACACAACAGCAGTACTTTGATGTAAGAACATGATATGATTGATAGATGAAGTGTATTCTAGACACAGAAATGCATGTCATATGCACATGTATAACATATATACTCAGCAGGTGCAATTTAATCAAAATAGAAGAAATGCAAGCTACACAACATATGCAACATGAAATCAATTATCACACAATCAACTTAGAGGAAGCACCTGCGATGATGGAGTACGGGAGATGAACTCATCATGTAGACTTGGGGCTTCAACTTCATTAGCAGTAGAAGTGGCAAATCTAGATAGTCTCTGTTTGCGTCAGTCTAGAGGACCACCAACATCCCCTAACTTACTCTTTTCCTTCCTATTTTCTAAAATTGCCTTATGAAGTCAAAACCAAAAAAAGATGAATAAAATTAGCTCTGTATAATTGGTTAATGCATGATACAGATGAACACTACTTTGATGTAAGGCAAGCACAGGATAGGAGGATGGAACATATACAAAAAAGATAGCATTGCATATTCAGACGTATGATAGGATGATGAAATATGTATGAAAAACAGTAAGCAGAAGGCATTTCAACAAAATTAGAAGAAATGAAAGCTAGGCAACAAGAGGACAGACCTTTTGTAATACCGTCTTGTGTTACTACAGGCCCAAAAGTGTGTTACTAGGCCATGTAGTAACACAGTTTGAAATGTGTTTCATTAGGCCGTGTTACTAGGTGGTCTTAATTTGTCACACATAATAATTGTTACCATATGTTAAAAATTGTGTTACAATTACATTACAGTAACATGTGTGTTATGTGTTACCAAACATCCGGGTAACACATATTTGTAATTATAGTAACACCGATAACATATTTTCATAGACATAGAACATCGGTGGTAACATGTTTTTGTAACTATAGTAACACAACAGGTAACACATTTCTTTAGCACCGGAACACAACTAGTAACATAATATCGAAATATTGTAATAGTATAACTATAGTAGTCAACTAGTCTAGTAACAAATTTTGTAGCTATAGTAACACCATTAGTAACACTGCTATATCAATATGTAACATAATTAATGTATTTATTTTTCTATTAGTAACCACAAAATTCAATACCCATTTTGTGGAATATAAATTTATTTAATAAAATTGATGCAATTGCGTAAATAGTTAAATCATTTTATTATTATGCTTGGCAGCATCAAAATGATATTGAAACTGAAGCACAACACATATAGAAACTCATATGAAGATATTTATTATGAATATACAAGTGTATGATACATATGCATTACAATAAAGATATCAGTCATATCATTTTGAGCATAGAAAACACAACTATGGAGAATATTACATTTGCATCAATTCGATGAAGAAAAATATCATGTTGATGATATTACATTTATAAATCTATCAATGTAAACTACAACTATTGGTAGCTAAAATCTTCCAATTTTATTTGCTTCTTGATCCAAGAATTCAGCTGCAATTCAACTATCCTTCTCTCGAATCTATAAAAGAAAATTGCACATTAGATATGTGTGATTAAATGTACACAAATATGATTTCAAAATGTGGAAGAGATGATTTTAACTTACAAAAGCTGAAGGCCAGGCAATTAAGTATCCTGAATTGAAAGCCTCACCAATTGTCTTGCAATTAGAAACTTCCCTTACCAGCTCCTCATTATCAAGAATAGGTTGATCTATGCGCACAAGGGCAAATTCAGCACCTAACTCAATACCACCAACCTTAGTTCTTGGATTAGTACTCCGAATAGTACCATATGCAACATTCCGCTTGTTGGGATATGTTGAAGTCTTTAAAACTACTTTGGAAGCAGCTTATATTATGATCAATATTAGCATTCAACGACATGATAATATAATTTGCATGAACAATATGAGATATTTTTAATGTCAGCCCAGTAAGGTGCCCTAGAAAACTAAATAAACTGGACCCGGCAATGAAGTCTAATGCCCAAGATCACCTCGCTTGCTCATGCTTGGTTAAATTTATTCTTTACTTGCATACAGTAGATTGAGCAAAATTTGTAACAAAATCCATTTTTCAAGCAGACATGATAATGTGGTTTGGGTTGGGAATTTGGGTGCAGTAAACCATGCTCCTTGGTGAATCTTTACCTTGATGGAAGAAGTACGCTTTCTTTTTGAGCGAGCTGGGTGTGGGTGTTCAGTTCTAGTCCCCTGCTGGTTCGTTCTTGAAACAGATTCACCTGTAAGATCCCTGGTTTCCCTCACCTACCAGGATACAATAATATTAGATGGAATGATATTCATACCTTGACGCTACAGAAAGCTACAACTTCAAAACTCAAAAGCACACAAAAATTACCTCTGGCACAGAATCAATAACATGGTCTTGTGATGATGATGAATTCTGTTGAATTTGTAATTGGTTGACATCATGGTCCTGCAGAACGACCATACATCTTTTATTCCAATAATTACAACAGTAGATACAGATATGTAATAAGCATGGTTCAAGAGGGATACTTTGCGGCATTCCCATAGTAAGTTTCCCTGCCCCTTCAGCAGAGACACCACCGTGTTGTAAGAGAACACTCTCATTCGGATGGTTAGATGGACCAATATGAATTTGCTTACTAGGCGGAGCAATATGATCGTCAACCTTCTCCTTAGACACATACAGATGGACAGCTTTCACAATCTCAGGGTCGGACAACATTTTCAACACAAGACCTTGATCATAAATGTGAACTAAGTAGGAGCTGCCTAGACAGGGTTTTTTCGCATAGTACAGAAAGTTAATTGCCTGAAAGCCAACTTCCTCGATCATCAAGATTAAGTCATAATACAAGACATCACGCCTCATCATGGATCTTTGTAACATTTTGGCTTCCTGATTTGTAACTTCATAGTGCAGGTATATGGTCAACATGTCCGTCGCCATCCTAGATATATATATATAAATATCAATTAAACCATTACAAGTAAAGACAAATTAACTAATGACATAACAGGGACAATTTAATTTTCCAATAGACATGAGTTGTAGCAGATAAATGAGGGAAGGCGAAAGGAGAATCCACCCAGGACAAGATTGTAGTCTCGGATAGGGAAATCAAGCAATACAAGTTGTGGAAGTCCCCTCGGCAATTTGGTTCCCAGAACCGATGAAACCTACCAAAAGAAACATGTGAATCGAGAGGGTAGAGAAGTACAGTAGCACGTCAATGCGCTATCAGCTTATCATAACTCAAACCAGAGAGAGGAGGTACAAGACCATGGGTCCAGCCACACCCACACTTGGATATAACATTGTCGACATATGGATTCAGGACAGGTTTAAGTTGAAAAGTGTACAGATTATGCAAACTAGGCATTATTCGACCGACGGCCAAGATTCTGTTAAGCACTAAGTGATAGGAGAGCAGCAGCATGTTGCCTCATGTGCCATCCCAAAATGACGAAGGAACCGAATGAGCCAACCAAGCATCATCCATCTCAGTTTGAGATTAAGAAAAGCAATCCTTCAATCAAGGGAACTCTAAAAAGCTTGCATCGGTAGAGGGAGAAATAATTGGTACAGAAAAAATGACAACTCTAAAAAGCTTGAAGTTTATGGTCTGTCATATTTCTCAAGAAATCTGATCAAATTTAAACAATAGTCAATGGATAGAGCCAGCCAAGCATCATCCATCTCAGTTTGAGATTAAGAAAAGTAATCCTTCAATCAAGGGAACTCTAAAAATCTTGCATCGGTACAGGGAGAAATAATTGGTACAGAAAAAAATGATAATTCTCCACAAGAATGTTGCAGCTTGAAGTTGAAGCAATTGGTCTGTTATATTGGTACAGGGAGAAATAATTGGCATAGAAAAAAAATGACAACTCTAAAAAGCTTGAAGTTTAAGCTCTGTCATATTTCTCAAGAAGTCTGATCGATTTTAAACAATAGTCGAGGGATCGATCTAGCAGAATTGTATAACACGCACATATATCAATGGATCGACCTGATTGGTGGATTAGGCATTGGCACAAAGCAAAACTATAGTCAGACACAACCGTACATGGTTTATGGGCTTCTGTACATCAGTGATTGTTTAATTATTTGTCTACGTATGGGCTAATTATGCAATTAGCTGCGGCCATTAGGCATCTACAGTACACACTCTGATTTGGTGCAGGACGGCGTCCTGGGCGTTGGAGTGCGGCGAGGTAGCCGCCGAACGGTGGGCGACTGGGCTGATTTGAGACCCAATTTATCTAGCGTTTTCTAGCTAATTGGAGGGAAAAGTAAACGCCAAAGTAATTGGAGAGGAGGAAAAAGTAAGCGGCATGGTTGATGACTGGAGGGAAATTTCTATATATATATTTTTTATCGAGGAGAACTGGAGGAAAATTGTTTTGGAAGAATCGGGACATTGTTACATATATTAATTTGTTTGGCATGGAAATTTTCCAAAAAGTGTTTTTGGCATGAAAAAATAGTTTTTTTTATTATTGATTGAAAGGGAAATTAAATATATCTAAATAGTGATGGCTTTATAAAATTGATTTACGTAACATGTGCTAAATAACCTATAATATGCTTTCTCTCTACTAACTAGTTGATATAAAAAAAATATCGAGCTTGAAGCTGCAACCGACCTTGGACGATGACCGTGATGGTGTTGTTATGAACAACAACAATGATGATATGCGTTAGCTGCGACCGACCGTCGACGGTGTTGTAATGATATATCTTAGAGGCTGACACATCAATCTAGTCTCCTCCTTTGTTCCACCTCCATGGTGATGGAGCTTATGACGAGGGTATCTCAACTACTCCCACGGTTCAAAAAATCGACCGTACTTTCAGTCGTACCAGAAAAAGGAAACTTGCGACCTCAATGGTTGGTTAAAGAAAAACATTGTAACTCAATCGACCTATATCACTCATGATCAGTCGCCTCAACCAAGATTGTGTCATTCCCACACGACTGCCAATGGAAGCGACGACCAGTGTGGGGGAAAGCGACGACCGACAATGCTAGAAGCTACGACCAGCCTGGGAGCATGTTGTGATCAGCGAGGCCGACGACTCCTAGTCGGTGCTGAGAGCGCATGGGGTGGTACTACAAAAGTGGCGATGACGATATGTGTCAGTTGCGACCTACCGCCGACGGTGTTGTAATGACATATCCAAGAGGCTGGAATATCAATATAGTGTCCTCCTTCCTTCCACCTCCATGGCGATATAGAATGAGGGGATACCAGCTGCACGCACGGTTCAAAAAACCGAGAGTACTTGTAGTCCTACCGGAAAAGGAAACCTGCGACCTCGATGGTTCTTTAAAGAAAAAACATTGTAATTCGATCGACCGATCTCATTCTTGATCGGTCGTGTCGACCAAGACCGCGTCATCCCACACGACGAAGCCCGGGAGCATGTTGTGACCAACGAGGCCGATGACTTTTGATCGTTGCTGAGAGCGCATGGGGTGGTACTATAAAAGTGGTGATGACGATATGTGTCAGTTGTGACCTACCGCCGACGGTGTTGTAACGACATATTCGAGAGGCTGGCACATCAATCTAGTCTCCTCCTTCCTTCCACCTCCATGGCGATAGAGAATAAGGAAGGGGATACCAGCTGCATGCATAGTTTAAAAAACTGAGCATATTTACAGTCGTACCGGAAAATTACACCTGCAACCTCAATGGTTCTTTGAAGAAAAATCATGCAATTCGACCGACTGGTCTCACTCTTGATTGGTTGTCTCGACCAAAATCGCGTCATCCCACACGACTGCCCATGGAAGCTATATGTCTGTGTGGGAGAAAGCTACGACCGATAATGCTAGGCGGTTACAACTGGACAGGGAGCATGGTGTGACCAGTGAGGCTGACGACTTTTGGTCAATGATGGTAGTGCATGCGGTGGTGCTACAAAGTGGCGACGACGATATGTGTCAGCTACAACTGACCGTCGAATGTGTTGTAAGGACATATCCGAGAGGTTGTCACATCAATCTAGTCTCCTCGTTCCTTTCACCTCCATAGAGACAGAGAATAAAAGGAGGGGATACCTGCTAAACTCATGGTTTATAAATCCGACTGTACTTGTAGACACACCAGTAAAAGGAAATATGTGATCTCGATATTGGTTAAAGAATAACATTGTAATTCTAGCTAGGACGTTAATCGATGGACTTTACATCAGTCAACCACCCCACCATTACATTGGATAATAGTTTTTTTAAGGACCCGAACCAGCGGTTGGACTAGGAAAAATCAGAATGGATGATCTTGGTAGTTGGTTAGCTCCATCGACCATCCATGCAATCGAGAAAAAAAAGACGGTTGAACCAGGTGTTTTTGTAAAAGCCGTTTAACCGGTGTCTCCAGAAAAGCCCATCATTTTAAGTGGCCGCATATTTTTTTTCATGTGAATAAGGTAGGGGTTTGTCCCGAATCGGTGGAAATCCATCAACTATCCCCCTTCCGCCGCCGCCACCGCTTCCAACATTGGGCGCAACTGCCCCTTCCGCCGCCGCCCTTCCCCGGTGCGGCGACGCCACCCCGCTCCACCAGGAGCCCAGGACCGGCGGGCTGGGGCCTCCCCGTACGAACGCGCCAGCGCTACTGCGTGCTGGTCCAGCAACCCCAGCCGTCCAGGGGACGCCATCGCCACCGCCTGGTCTCCAGCATCCAGCTACTCCAGCCGTCCCTCCGGTTGCCTCCCTCCTCTCCACACTCCAGACAGGACGACCGGCGGTCGCCTCCCTCTAGTCCTGACCAGGACGCTGGTAATATGAACTCTCTCTTCTTCTCTCTATTTACCTATTCTACTATTCTACAGAAGCATCTTTATGTCATATGTCAACTTGTGAAGTTTGTGAACTACTAGAATTAGAGATATTAGGGAAAGGAACTAGAGATTATTAGTGTATATGATAAATGCTGCTGCTGTTCACATTGTCTTGATTGTCCGATTGGAGCTGCTCTTTGCTAGTTGCATATATCTGGATACTGTGCTTGCTAATTGCTAGTATACTTGTAGTTGCTGGTTACTTTGTAGTATTTTATTACAATTTGTTTATCTATTGATTGGAGTGTTTATTAGTAATATGGCTTTAGAAACTAGACATTGAACCGGCTTCTCCAATGTCTTGAGACCCTTGTAACTGGAGCCAGAACAGGTTTGAGAGTGGCAGCTTCATGGCTTGCTGATGTGCTTCTCTTTTAAGTTCTAAATAGGACCCTTGTAGAAGTAAACTACTACTTCTAGACCATCCGACCCATCTATCTTCTGTTGTTGCAATAAAGACCAAGTCTGTTTAAGGAATTATAGGAAGACATGTTTATGTTACTTTTGTCCTTGTCACTCAGTGCAGTAACTACATTTCTTTTTGTTATAGTGTATCGATGGATTTATAATCTATAAAGGAGCTATTGCTTTCTCCTAGACCAAGTGAGGAATACTTGGCTGGTGTAGCTGGTTTTCTTGACTTTGCATACATCGGGAAAAGTTCTGATGCCAAGATCCTTTGCCCATGCGTCATATGTGTCAATGGATCGTTACGGAAGCGGGAGGACGTGTATGATCACTTGGATATACTGTTTGGGGTTGCCATGGGGAAACAACATCATTCATCTCTGCTAACAAACAAGGTGAAACTCCAACACACATGAGAAGTAACAAAAGGTCACGATCACAGTTTGAAGGAACAAAATCTAATATGCGTCAGTTAGTGGAAGATGTTTTCTGTGGACCTCCAATGATAGAACCTGAAACCCAAAATCCATCTAAACCAGGACCATACCCTGAATCCCAAGCTTTCTATGACCTTTTGAGAGATGCAGATCAACCTTTATGGCCAGGCTGTGAACTATCCATACTTTCTCTTGTTGTTATTCTCTTCCACATAAAAGCCACTAACAAGTGGAGCAATAAATCTTTAAATG